AATGCTAATTGCTGATTGTTTTGTAGCTTTATCCGCGGCCTAATTTCTGATTATGCTCTCCCAATCGCTGTGGTTATCATGGCTGTCCTGGCAAAGATCTTCTTCAGCAATGTCGATAGTAAGGGCACGTTCTTTCTTGTAAGGTTTTTTAGCGGAAAGCTTCAACGTCTACGATAAAGCTGATATCCATTGGGCCGGACCGGAAAATCTACCATTTTGGGCTCAGGTATAAGCGGTGTAGAGAGACCATAACAACGCGAATTTAGGGACTCGCAATCGGGCTCGGTTTTCCTCTATCGCTACTTTTTTTTTATGGACCAGCTTTTGGTGACAAATACCGTGGATAACAAGCAGAACAAGTCAATTAAAATAATTACCATTTTTCGTACGGTTTAAGACTTGAAAAAGGGTCAAGCATGCATTGGGATTTGCTTGTCGTCAGCTTTCTGAATATATTCTTATCCCTCCTTTCACTACCGTGGATGCATGGAGCCCTACCATCTGCCTATCTTCATTTAAAGGTAGTTCAGTCGTTCAGTTTCTTTAAAGGGATGCCGACGGCATAGCCAATCGGTTACGCGCTGGAAAGAAAATGTGTCTGCGCCTCTCCCCTGGGCGCGCTCTCTGCCCTGTTGGCTACTTGCCAATTTGTTGATGAGGGGGGATCGACACATGCCGTCGGCAGCCGTTTAAATCGGGGGTTTTTAGGCCTTGGCCGACGTGGAGCATCGCGTACACAATGGGGTCATGGGCGAAGTGTAAGCTTTACAGAAAATCGCGGGTTATTCGATTTTTAGGATTACCAAAGTCAGAGAAACTCGTCTGGCCGTTCTATTAGCGCATATTCTGATGATCCCCATATATTTCTGGCTAATTCCATACTTTACAGCTTTTATCCCAACTTCATTATTTCATGGTAAGTAGAAACTTCTATCGCATGGGGGAAATTCGATCGATTTTAGGACTTTTCCTCTTCATGGCCATCAGCTCGTTGACGGGTAATGAAATGTGGCAGAGAATTATGCTCCTTTTTACTGAACAGGTTTCAAAAATCGCAATTTTAAGCGCCCATGTGTTTTCTAGCGCTCTTACCCGGCCACCAGTTACTTGAGAAAGGTCTCACAAAGAAAAGTCCACGCCTTCACCATTATTGAAGTATTTTTGAACTTTTCTAAAGTCTGGATAATACATTTTAGATTCTACAATTAGCCACGCTATTGGCAGTCGGTTTTTATCCTTGGCATTTTGTGGAAATGGTATTTCCGGTTGTCATTGCGTTATTTATACCTTTCCGGTGAGTACGCTTGGATTACCTTCGAATTATGCGCGATTTTAGGCATTTCATACTCCCGCTAATGTTTTCTGACGATGAACTGGAAGCATTGGATAGCGAACATTAGAAAAGTAAATTAATAAACCGTCAAAAAATTGTCAATTTGTCAAAAAAACATCCATGAAGACATTTTTAAACGAAAATGGGAGCAAATTGCGCAGGCGGTTTACTCTGCACGTGAAAACCACTAGGATTCTGGCATTTTCTGAATATAATAAGTTTTATCAAATTTAAATAATAATATCTTATGCATAATGTATATACCTTTAAGACCTAACTTTTTGGAAGTAGTGGCGCTCCCTAACCTGCGCAGCTGTCCGCGCACTGCCCCCAAAATACCCACCGCTCTCTCCTCTCCGGGTATGCTGTGGCCGAGTGGGCTAGTGGTTCCCCTTCCCACCCACAGGGTCCGTGTTCGACCCCTGCCGGTGATGTTTCTCGTTAGTCCAACCGATTTTCAGTGTGGATAACATAATCAACCTGAGGCTAGTCACCTATTTTTTTGGTTTTTCGAGCCTTATCAACTGAGGATACCCCCATTTTGGACGGCTGGCCCACGCGCTCCTTATCAGTTTGAGTGTTCCCGGAGGTAGGGGGCATATGGGCGGGAATTTGAATGTGGCGCTGCTTTAGGTTATGATTAACGTTAAAATAACGCTTTAGTTTTAAAAGGGCAGCTTAATAAGCCCAGAACGTGACGGCAGAAAGAAAAAAGCAGCCCGAATATATTCGGAACAAAACACAGCCCGAACCTGACACATCATTTTCAAAAAAACTTCTCATAAATTACTTCACGACAGGGTTTCGATGCGTGGGCGAAGATCGAACGTCTGCTGGTTTTATATAGAAACCGATTCTGCATGACGGAAAGACATTCTACCGTCAAAAACTCAGCTATGCACGTCTTCAACTTGTTCTTCATCACCGTGATTGCCCTCTTTCTTGCGATTCCCGCGTTCGAGACTGACATGAGCAAAGATCCGAGATCTATGTTTTATGGTTCGAAAATCATGTGTTGGAAAATCCAAGCTGTCAATCTATTTTTAAGAGGTCAAATAATCGCAAATCCAGCTTCTAAAAATTCATTTATACAGTGAGACAGGTATATAAAATGGCCGGGTCTTGGATCTATTTCATAACCATGAATCTCGCTGTGTCTCTTTTTTGCTTTTCTTTCCTCCTCGGCTCTGCGATGGGTTTTGAGGATCATGGGGTAAATTCTCACAATTTTCGCATTAGTAATGTTTAAGGGCAATCAATTCCCGCCGCCTACGGCATATGTAAGTTGATTTCGTTTAGAATACGCTTCTCAACAATAGAAAATGACCTATTAGACTTTTTAGGAACTCATTCCACGTCTGCGCTGCAAGCGTCACGTACCGGTAACTAAAACTGAAACGAAAATGCCAAAACCAGGGTGTGCCCGTGGCTTTTGGGCCACAACGTCATGCTGTACGGGGATGGCAAGACGACTAACTATACAGCCATTGTATAAATATATCATCATCATATTTGCTAACGGTTTTCTTCCAATTGTTACAATTTCAGTAAAGAAAATCTGCATTGCATTTTTGAAAACCACCTATCGCCATTGGGTTACGTCATGTAATTCTGGGACTGGGCGTACTCCACGGGTATAAAATCAGAAAAGAGGCTGACTTTTTTGTAGATAAGAACCATTTTTCTTCAGATTTCACAATTTAATTTTTCTATCGATCAGTTCGCTTTGAAAGCTTCTTCGCTCGCATCGCCCCGATTTTCTGCCCGTCCCCCCGTTATCAAAAGGCCACAAAATTCGCCGGCGCCGAGACTTCATCGTTCAAAGGTGAAACGCCTGCAAATTTCGTTGACAATCCCCGGGGCAAGGGGTTGCGTGACGGCTTATCGCTCGAATCGTGCCATTATGGAAGCTAGCGGATCGAGGCAAAGGAAAAAATTGTGACTAGGATACGTGGTCAAGAAAACGGTTTGGCCGAGAGGATTTCGGCAGAGTCGTGCTAATATACGCATTTTCATTAATTTTTAAATTTATCACGATAACCCAAGCCGGATAACACCTTTATTAAACGGCTAGTTCGGCCAATAAAGCAAAAGAATTTCCGCGGCGAGGATCTCTAATAGCTGTCGTAATGGGGGCTGTTCGGGCGCACTGTGCCTACGTCTATAGTTTCCCAAGGTACCAGCCCTAAAAGCTCTAAAAGTTGAACCAGCCCTTTAGAGACCGACCATAACATGTAAATGGTTACCTAAGCAGAGCGGATGAGTGTTTCACCTCATTACGCATTTTTTCGCTGGATTTATTGATTTTCAATGACAGCTTCTGTGTCCAAAAATCGCTTGCAGCAGCCAGTAATGATTTCTTTAAATCTCCAATCCGTATCAGTCCCCGCTGTGGTCTCATCAACCCATCCGTCCCCTCCCCTCCGCGTGCTTTTCAAAGATCCACTCCACCACCTACCCACGGGGCGCCTGATAGATTGTCGTTGAACTGTCAATTGAGTGAGTGGAGCCTAGGTGATGCCATTCCCCCAAGATTCGTCCGGCGAACCTCTAGAGAACGGGAGGTGATGACGCTGTAGCCGAGTGGTCTCACTCCCTATCCTCGACCATCTTGTCTGGGAGTGAGTACCGTATCCCCTGTTTTTGGGAAGCGGGATGATTGGTGGTTGATTGTAACTACAGAAATGAAAGAGCTAAAGAGTAAGAGAACTAGAGAGAGAGAGAGAGAGAGAGAGAGAGAGAGAGCTAGAGAAAGACTTGGAGACTGAGAGAGAGAAACAGAAATATGCAAACTAGGCAACGCGATGCTTGTACGTATTAATTTCGCCGGACTTGTACGTCTACATCTATGAGCATTTGCGTTCCCATTGTTCAGTCTCATTGCGTAAATAAAATCATATCTTCCATTCCCGAAAACTACGCATTCAGGAAATCCATGCCAAAAAGCTTGCCAATATCGATGAATTGGATTAGTTTCAAATATTCTTCGCGCTTGAATTTGTTGGTCTTACCTACCTCCTTCAACATATCATGGAATTCAACTTATCAAAACAGAATGAAATACCACTTCCGTTTCCAGATGCAAAACACCCCTTCACCATCTGATGATTGCCCCTATGACCTCTGGGATGAGCAAACAGTATTCGAAGGTCGATGGCTGAAGACCAGGCAGATCCGATTTCGTGAGCGACACACCAAACAGGAAGGTGTACGTCCCTTAATCTTGTTTTTCCATTTTCTTGATGAGCACTTTTTATGAAGAGATTCAACTCTTGCCGCTGACCCCCAAAGGGTCACGAAAACATCACAAAAACCCTTACTCACCCCTCGCCTACGGCCAGGTTGCGCCCTAGTTTTACATCCGGCCATTCTTGCCCTTCAAGAATTATAAAGAACGAACGGATTTCAACGGTTTTTTTGTCGGTAAAAAGTAATCATTGAAATAGGGCCGCACTTTTGAAAATTAAACATGAAAATTGCACAGAAAAACCGAGGTCGAATCGACAAAAACTTATCCAAGGAAAAGAAGCTTTTCCTGCAGGCCCAATTGTGGGCGACGCATGGCAATTTTCTAAAATTAAAATTTGGTAAAATGATCAAAAAACTTTTAGTGGTTAGGTGATCAAAATCGTAAATTGCAGGAATATCGCACTTTTGATAAGTTTTAGATCTGGCAATCTGCCCACCGTACCACGAAGCCGGCAAATTGCGAAGTTGATGGAGTGGATATTATTGCCGTGCTTCACAAGGACAATAAAAAGTATTTTGTCCTCGTCAAGCAGTACCGTATCCCGATGGGAGGGTGGTGTCTCGAGTTTCCAGCAGGTGGGTTGAGGGTTCTTTCACTTTCGCTCATTCTCTCTCTCTCTCTCGCTCTCTGTCTCTCTCTGTCTCTCTCTCTTTCGCTAGCAATAAAACCAAGCTACCGTATCATATCTGACTGTAAAGTGTTTTTACTCAACTTGGAGTTTCGATTCGGGACCAAGCGCATCTTGTGCAGAATTTTTCGCTGATTCCGAAGATGTTTTCCAAATTTGCTACGGACTTTTATTTAAAAATCATTTTGGTAATAATTAGGCCGAAAAATGCCAAAAATTCAGACGCTGGCCCACTATTCCTTGTTTGGGGCTATGCTTCCCAGGGGCCCTGAAGTGCCCTCTGACAGCACCCTTCCCAGTTGGCACCATGGTGCATTTGCAAAGTACTCGCTTACCAAGCGCAGGGCAGCGGTTCCAACCCCGCCCTGCATCATTTCTTTTGCCTTTGAATAAAAATCTCATTTTTATCCTAAAATGCTTGTTTTTGAGCTGTAGGATGCTTGTCGAGCCAACGTCTAGTCAATTTTGACGTTGAAATTAGATAATAAAAAAATCGAAAACTATAACGATACCTCTACTTTGGTGAAAACTAGG